AGGTGGCTCAGTACGACGGAGCTTACAAGGGAGCAGGACGAGACTAGAGCCAGATACGGACAGTTGAGAATCGAGTGGTCTCGTTGTGATTCCTCTCAGGCCGGGGGTTTCTATCTCAGTTACACTCTGAGGCTCTGAGTGAAATTTAGTGATCTGTGGTAATTATGGTCGGCGTTACCTTGGAATTTAACAGCTGTGGTTCTTGGTCAGGAGTAAACGTTATAGCTCAAAAGTTGAATTGCTGAGATGTAAGTCAAAGTCCGAGCGGGGCGACAAACAGGAGCAGGTCAGATGATGGTAACAGGAATATGAGAGTGTGATAGTTGCAGTGTATTTGGCCGATTTCTGTGAGTAGCGGGTGTGTGTGTGTGTGTGTGTGGTGTGTGTGTGTAGGTGGAGCAGGGGGTCTGTGGAAGAAGAGTATGGAGGACAGAAGCGATCATCGAGCACCCGAATCACAGAGGGTGAGACGACGTTAAATTCAGCCTTCAGAAAGTTTCAAAACACTCGTTTTTTTTCTGTTGGGAAACTCTCTCTCTCTCTCCTCTTTCTCTCTCTCTCTCTGCGTCTCTCTCTCTTTCTCGTCTCTCTCGTCTCGCGTCTCTCTCTCTCTCGGGTCTCTCTTCTCTGGGTGCAGATGGGTTTTGCCAGGCATCGCAGTGGGAGCATGGTAAGTCTTTTTTTTTTTTTTTTCTTCATCCAGATAGATTCACACATTCATTGAACACATGTGAATCACTAAAACAGCAAACTGACATTGTATTTATAATCCAGTGATTGGAACTTGTAACGAACTGTAATTAACACTACTTTAATTTAGTTTATATTTAGGTAAAATGTCCTAGTTAAGTTAATTGCTTTGATGTAATGAGGTTTACATCGTCTTTGAGAGCCTTTAGATATAATTTGCACTCAGGCCGTAGATTTACAGTACCACAGTTTCCTATTTGGGGTAATAAAGATAACTGAACTGACTCCTGTGGACGCGTCTCACTGATATTAAACTGCCCCCCCCCCCCGCAGGCCGGCCTGAGACCCATCTGTGAGTTCATGACCTTTAACTTCTCCATGCAAGCCATCGACCAGGTCATCAACTCTGCGGCAAAGACCTACTACATGTCAGCCGGTCAGCAGTCGGTGCCCATCGTCTTCAGAGGACCCAACGGGGCGTCAGCGGGCGTCGCCGCGCAGCACTCACAGTGCTTCGCTGCGTGGTGCGTTCACTTCCGCCTGATACTGTCTCTGTCACTTATGTAGCTCTTAATGTGTACAAAAGTCTTTATAGTACCTGTATTAGAACTTCTTTTTGTAGTTTTGTCCATCGTTTTATTATTTTTTAGAGCATTTTATTTCTTGGGTAATGAATAATGAATAGTGACGGGTTAGATAGACAAGAAAGGAGGGAGAGAGGGGGGGGGGCAGATAGCATGTAGCAAAAGGCAGTGGGAAGCACTCAGCCTTAGTACATACATGATCTACCAGGTGGGGTATCGGGACTCCAGGAGTTCTCCTTTAACGGTGGACGTAGTAGTTGTAACAGCTGTGTCTGTCCTCAGGTACGGTCACTGTCCAGGTCTGAAGGTTGTGAGTCCCTGGAGCTCAGAAGATGCCAAAGGTCTCCTGAAATCAGCCATCAGAGACGACAATCCGGGTGAGAAACTCCACTACGGCAGCTCAAAACTGACCTGAGAGCTAG